TTTTAACAGTGAGTGCAGGCATAGGAACAGGGGAGTGGTTGAGCACTAAGATCCAGGGGAGTCATTGCTTCCCCTTGGTCTTTTTGCCAACAGCCATTTTGTGCTGGCAGCCTTGCGGAACCAGGCAAGCATGGGGTCTGAGTGTTTGTAGGGTTGCCAGGTGCCTGGTATTTTCACCGCCTGGCCAGGGAAAAAAGTCAGATAATAGTGGACTTCTTAGGTGTTTGGTATTTTCTGAAATTTTTTACTGGACAGGAGACGAAAACACCGGACTGTTCGGGTGAATACTGGACACCTGGCAACCCTACTCACAATGGGGCCCGAAGGAACAGTGAGGCCTCTGGGAACTATTGTAATGCAAGTTACAAACAATGGCATCAGTAATAGTAATAGCAGTCATAGTAAGATAAAGCAATGGTACAGAGGTTACCCTGAATGGCTCCTAAGCTTTGGCCCACAGGGCCTCTCAAACACTGGAAACCCTAATGTTCCTGGACTGGGAGGCAGATCTGGAGACAAATCCCAGGCTAACATGCTGCAACTTTGAGCAAGTCACTTTACCTCTCTGTACCTTTGTGTTTCTTCCCATTCATTGTCTGTTCTGACTGCAAGCTTCTTAGGGCAAGGCCTGTCTCTTAGTATATGACAGTTAACTAATCTGTTTTGTAATAGTGGCTAGGGATTTTAAATGTGAATGGATGGCCCAGTGGTTAGGGCATTAGCTTCTGACTTGGGAGAACTCAGGTCTTTTCTTGAGTGAATCACTGAGCCCCTTTGTGCCTCAGTTTCCCTTTGTTCCATAAGGCTGCCAGCATTGCCCTACTTCACAGGAGTGCTGTGAAGATAATGACATTAAATTATTGTGACATGCTCAGATGCTATGGTGATGGGGGCCATATAGATGCCTAAGATGAATAGACCAGGACTCATGGTGCAAGGTACAGTACAAAAAAAAAAAGCTGGTCCCTGCCCAAAAGCACAATCCAAGTGGCATGTTTATATGTAGAGCCTGGCAAAATGAGGCTCTGGGCCTCAGTAAAACATTGTAGGAACTATTGAAATACAAATAAATAACTGTTTTTCTGACTGAAGGCCATATCCTGGCATCATTACTCAGACCAAGTGGTACCTTACTCACAAGTAGTCCCAATGAAGTCAGGAAGAAGCTAATATTCAGTACAAATAGAGGTGGCAGAAACTAGCCCTACACAACTAGCCAAATGCAGCAGTCCATGCCAAGGTCAGTCCAGCAGCTTAAATAAAAAGCTGGAGAGTGCAGGCCAAGCCATTCTGCAGTTACACTGAGACACACAGACTCAAATCACCACATTTTTGAAACTCTATTAGCACTCTAATAGCTTCGTTTGTTTTGGCTCTGATGTAAAATGAAAACTCTGCTCTGGCTTAAGACTGTGTCTATGAAAATGTATTTTAATGGCCTAATGTAACCTACACATCTACTGGGTGTGGTTTGCTGTCCAATGTACTGGCACTTACACCACTTACAGAGAGAAAGAACAAGTTTGCTCTACAGCCTTAGTTGAGAGGCAGCTGGCTTTTAGCTCAAATGGTAAAGGCTTGTGCACAAAGGTCCTAGGTTTGGGTCCACCTGTTATCATTACACTAAGCTTGGCAAGGAGGAGGAGAAAGTTATGTGTCATTTACAGATGTAAAACATATCAGCTATAATATTATCATTTTGCTAAAGATTTTTTTAAGTTGGCTTGTAAAATAAGTGCACTGTAGCCCATTCAAAATATAGGGGAAAAATCTGCCCTTCTTATCCTTAATGAGGACAGCAAAAGAGAAGTGCTTATGACTGAGGCCATGTCTACACTTGGGGACAAAGTCAAACCAAGATACACAACTCCAGCTACATGAATAGCGTAGCTGGAGTCAAAGTACCTTAGTTTGAACTTCCACGGTATCCCCACTGCGGGAAGTCTACAGGGACATGATCATTGGTTGATTTAGTAGACCCGCTAAATCAAAGCCTGGGTGATCGATCTCTTGGTAAGTGGAGACAAGGCCTGAGTCACCCTGCTTCAGTTCCGGTTCAGTGCTATTGGGAGGAAATGTATAGTCTTGTCCCTTAGAGCTCTTGGTATGAAGTATGCACCCACCTGTCTAATGCTTGGTACTGATCATAGTGCATGAGTAGTAGGGGACCAGGATCCAGCACTGGGAGAGAGCTCTACCAGTGCTGTAGGAAAACCACCTCCACAGGGGAGTAGCTAACAGTGCTGAGAGCTTGCCTATACTGGCCCTTTACAGCCCTAAAACTTGCTGCATTCAGTGGGGGAAGGGTGAGTTTTCACACTTGTGAGTGAGAAAGTTTCAGGGTACTAAAATGCCAGTGTAGAAAAGCCGTAAGTGTCGTTTTACTGAGTTCTGAATGTGCTTCTGGGTTCACAACTTCCTTGAGGAGCTAAACTGCTCTGTTCACAAGCTCAAGTGCATTATTTGTGGAGTTTGATACCAGGCTGTTTCCTTGCTCAGCAAAACTCTATGATCACAGATAGACTACAGGCAAATGTTGTAAATATCATATTGAAACCTAGCAATGAAATGACACTGTGGTATTCTCTGCTAGGTGGGACCAAATTTTAATGTTTAAATTTTGTTTAATTATTTTTCCAGTTTACTCCAGAAAGAGAGACTTTTTTGTACAGAGTATTATAAAGCATGGCTCCAACGGGAGAAATTGCATAGAATTGGCATAGCTTACATTTTTAAATTTATATTTTAAAACTAACAGTTAAGCCCTTGCCTAATGAGTTTATCCAGCACAATCTTTTGATCAGTGAGGACTGATTCTAAGACTTATACTTATTCAATCAGGAACTTGAAAGTATACCACGTGACCCTCACATATCAAATCTAGCCCTTACAGCTCACGTTTTATACCAAATACTTATAACCAACATCTTCCAAACAATCAAGCATTCTTCATAGAAACTGTTTTGTGAATAATTTCAAATAACAAATAAACTGGGAAAAAAGCATAGGCTGCCTGTGGACAACTCATGAATAGAAAAAGATGCTGAGTTTGTCTAATAAGTTGTTCTCACAGCTCTTGTAAGTATTATCTGCATTTAAGAGGTTAGAATACTAAACCACAGACACATTTACTTGTTCAAAGATATAGAAGACAGCCCTGGTAGATCTGAGAACGAAATCAAAACCCTCCCATCATCTGCTCTAACAACTACAATCCTTCCCTTTAATTAATTATTCATTATTAAGCACTGGAAGTAACTTGGCAGTAAGAACAGAAGAATGGCTATACAGGGTCCAATCAAAGGTCCATCTTACCCAGTATCCTATCTTCCAGCAGTGGCCATTGCCAAGTGCTTCAGAGGGAATGAACAGAATGGGGCAATTGTCAAGGGATACACCCCTTGTGGTCCAAGTCCAGCTTCTGACAGTCAGAGGTTTAGAGACACCCAAAGCATGGGGTTACATCCCTGACCATCTTGGCTAATAGCTATTAATGGCTCTAACCTCCATAAACTTAACTTATTCTCTTTTGAATCCAGTTATACTTTCAGCCTGCAAAACATCTCCTTGTAATGAGTTCCACATGTTTACTGTGCATTGTGAATACCATTTAGTCCATGAGCAGGCAAATCCAGCCCACTGGCCAAATCCAGCCTGCAAAGCTGCCAGATCTGGACCGCGGCCCAGCAGGAGCCTCAGGGCGTGTCTACACAGCAGGGCTAAACTCGAAATAAGCTACGCAACTTGAGCTATGCTAACTGTGTAGCTTGAGTCAAAATAGCTTATTTCAACTTTTGGTGCAGTCTACACAGCGGTTATTTCAAAATAGAGCACTCCTCCCCCAACTTCCCTTACTTCTCATACAATGAGGCTGTGTCTATACTGGCAAGTTTTTCCGCAAAATCATCTGCTTTTGCGGAAAAACTTGCCAGCTGTCTACACTGGCCGCTTGAATTTCCGGAAAAGCACTGATGATCTCACGTAAAATCATCAGTGCTTTTCCGGAAAAACTATGCTGCTCCCGTTCGGGCAAAAGTCTTTTTCTGAAAGACTTTTGCGCAAAAGGGCCAGTGTAGACAGCACAGTACTGTTTTCTGCAAAAAAGCCCCAATCGTGAAAAAGGCATTCGGGGCTTTTTTGCGGAAAACTGCGTCTAGATTGGCCACGGACGCTTTTCCGCAAAAAGTGCTTTTGCGGAAAAGCATCCTGCCAATCTAGATGCGCTTTTCCGAAAATGCTTTTAACGGAAAACTTCTCCGTTAAAAGCATTTTCGGAAATTCATGCCAGTGTAGACATAGCCTGAGGGTTACAGAAGTTGGAGTAAGAAGCCTGTTATTTCGAATTTATTTTGAAATAACAGGCTTGCAGTGTAGACGCGTACTATGTTTTTTTAAATAACTGGCGTTATTCCGAAATAACGCTGCTGTGTAGATGTAGTCTCAGTCAGGTTCCCTGCCTGCCCACTCCTGCAAGCCAGCTGCAGGAGCCATGTGCTTCTCTGAATGCTGCAAATCCAGAGAGAGAGAGAAAGAGGCTTTGCATGCTGCCCCCACCTCCAGCACAATCTTGCAGCTCCCATCATCCAGGTTCCGGCCAATGGGAGTTGCCTGTTTGCAGGATAAGCAAAACAAAGTATCCCTTCACTCCTCCCCTCGGGCTCACAGCCTTCAGAGAAGCACATGACTCCCACATCCAGCTGTTCTGAGCTGCAAGAAGGAGTGTGGCAGGCAGGAAACATGGCTGAGGAACCTTCTGGGCTGCTGGCCAGGAGCTGCCCAGGTAAGTACCTCCCTGCCAGAGCCTGCCTCTAGCACTCCAGCCCCACAACCTTTTGTCTCCATTTTGCACCCTTTATCCCAATTCCCTGCCATGGACAGGGGGCTGGACTTGATGACCTCCTGAGGTCTCTTCCAGCCCTATGATTCTATGATTCCCTGCCCTCAGTCACAACTCAAATCCCTGCACCCCCTCCTCCAGATCAGAATCCTCTCCTGTACCCATCCCCCCTCCCAGACCCTGCACCCCTTTCTGCACCCCAGTCTCCTGCTCCAGGTCACAACCTGCTTCTTCATCCAAGCTTCCTCCCAGATTCCACACTCTCTCCTGCACTCTAATCCCTTATTCCAAGATCCCTTCTACACTCAATTTCCATTCCTGACCCCACACGTTCTCCATTAATACCATGGAAAAGTGCAGACCTTGACTGTTTACCAAATTCTTGGAGCGGTCCCGCCATCAAAAATTATTGCTCACCTTGATCTAGTCCTAGTAATGTATTACTGTTTAATTTATCAATTTGTTTCAAAACCTCCTTTATTGTCACCTCAATCTGGGCAGTTCTTCAGATTTGTCATCGAAAAAGAGTGGCTCGGGTATGGAAATCCTTTCATCCTCCACGGTGAAGACCGTTTAGCTTTTCTACAACAACCTTGTCTTCCTTGAGTGCTCCTTTAGTGCCTCAACTCCACAGGCCTCACTGAGGTTTAGCAGATTTCCTGCATCTGAGGGGGCTTAAAAACAAATTTGCTGTTACTTTTTGTTTCTTTTGCAAGTTGCTCTTCAAATTCTTTTTTGACTTGCATAATTATATTTTTACATTTGACCTGCCAGAATTCATACTCCATACTACTTTCCATAGTAGTATCTGACTTCTAATTTTTGAAGGATGTCACGTTGGCTCAGACCATCTCTTTTATGCTGTTGTTTAGCGTTGGTGGTATTATTTTGGTCTTTTCCCTGTTTGTACATTTCAAAAGCAGAGGCGCAGCCGTCCGGACCCGCCTGAGCAGGGACTGCTTCAGTCCCTGCTTGCAGGGTTCCTCCTTGTGCCTTTCCCTTTGAAATGTACAAGAGCCATGGATGGCTCTTGTACATTTCAAAGGCAGAGGTGCAGCGAGATAGCGAACACTCCCCTTATCAACTAATCAAAAGTTAACATCCCTAATCACTACTTCATCAACTTGCATGTTTTCCTCTTCTCTAGGATATAGAGTATCTCCTTTAATAAATCCTCCCCAAAGAAAGTGATTGTTCAAACTGTGTGTGCCTCCACACCTGTCAGTTCACACTGAGAAAGTTAAGCTCATTGCACTAAAAGACATCTCACTGCCATCTTTTCATTTGTTTAGGCCTTGAGTTAATATTATATTTTGGCACTGATGTAAGTTGGCACGAAGTGATGGAGTAACTGCAGAAGGTCTTCATGAATGACTAGAAGTCAACGCTTGTTTGGTTTATGTTGCTTTTTGCAGCATGTCCCATTAGTGAACAGGCTGCAGAATGTACAATGCCCAAGCATGTTTCAGCAAATGTAGCATTTTTCAGTCAGTGAGAAGTTACATCGGTCAATTACTCTGTCCTTGAAGCACTTTGACTCCTACCATCCACTTCCCCTCGCCTTCTTATCTTAAGCTACCACCCTCTTTTCAAGCTTCTCTATCTCAGCAGAGTGTTTATAGCACTAGCGTTCTCTTTTCTCTCCCCTCACTGAACAGTATCCCTGCCTGTTTCCCATCTGGGTTGATCTAGGCATGCTTGGAGACCTCTGCCACTCTGTGTGCCATTAACAGCCTCCTTTCTGCAGTGAAAGCTCTTCCTCCCCCTTCACAGTGCTTGATTTCAGTACTGTTCTCAGTACTATTGGACCCTCCAGGACCACTCTAAAGCTGGTTCCCTTATGTCTTGGCTTGTACTATGCCAGTGCAGCTTCTTTCTTTACCTAGCAAACTCGTGACTTTATTTCGAATCCACAACGTTGCCTCTGCATGCCACTGCCTCAGCTCCACCTCTCCCGAAATCCTCCATCTTCCCACCCTCCATACTAGGATTCCCTCAGCTGCATCACTGCACTCTCCACTAGACTGTTTTCCAGACTCCAGTGTTTGCACGATGCTTCCAGATGCCTCTCACATAGACACAGCCCAAAGACCCCCGTCCTTGAACAACTCCAATGGACAAAATTCAAACCTCTTTTTGTTTTAAGTCCCCCCCATAGATGTGTTCCAGATTACTCCATGGATCCTCTCTTTCTCTCCTCCCAGTCCCACTTCCTCTGCTAAGCTCAAACCTGCCTCCTTTATCTCCCCATGTAGATGCACCACCGTAAGTGTCGGAACCTCCTTTGCAACTCTGTCATCTGGAACAGCGGTTCCCAACCACCAGTCCACAAACTGGCACCAAGCCGTGAACCACTGGCTGCCGGGCCATGGTGGCTGCTGGAGCTAAAGCTGGCTGCTATGCGGCGGCTCTGGGGGCTGGGATACATATTTAGTGGACCGGTAACATTATATTCTCATATTCGCATATTCCGTGTTTGCATAATTAATATGCAATTATGCAAATAAAATGTTACCGGTCCGTCAGAAGTTTATGAATGGGTTTGCCAAAAAAAGGTTGGGAACCACTAATCTGGGAGAACCCTTTCTCCACTTCCTTGATCCTCAGTTTTCAGGGAGCCATCATTCCCTCCTTGCGTAATTGTCCTTGATTTTTCAGCCAGTAAATCTTGTTCTTGTACTGTGGAACTACAGTGCTTAATACTATACAGTGTTTTGCGGTATTATTCCCAATTTATACTGCAGGAATAACTTCACTGAAGTCAAGAGAGTTGCTCCAATCTGATGCAAAATCGGTGTGAGAAAAGAAACCGACCTGTAGTTTATACTACAAACACAAAATGAAGGTGTGTTGCATTAGGTTATTGCCATTGTGATGAATTCTGACCCATGTGTGTCATGTGATAGCCTTGTTAAATGAGCTTGAACAGTAACATTTTATTGCCAGCCTCTTATAAGCATTTAAGGAGCAAAGTGCCAACAATAAACTGCAGTCAGACACTAGAATTTTCATTACTGTTTACAAACTTTCCATATGAAAGGCATTGTCATTGCTGAAACCTGGAGTCAAACTGGCTAATCATTTGTAAGGTTGTTTACTTTGTCCCAGGCTTATCTTGTAAGATATGAACCAGTTTCATAACCTCATCTTATAATGTATAAGTAAAATGCCAAATACTTGATCTCACTGTCATGATCATGTTAATTGATTTTAATAAAATTTATAACTGTGTAGCAAAACAGAACGATTAAGAGACAGACAGTAGTACACTCTATGGTATGTATTTCATTAAGAGGTAATACGCCAGATTCTGTTACATTGCTTTATATTTGGAGTATCTCAAAGAAATTGACCAGTTTTAGACAAAAGATTAGTTAACTTCAATGGTATTGCTCTGGATTTACACTGAATCCATATATATCCAGTGACTGTGAGAGTCGAGACTCCTGATCCTATTCATGGCTCTGCCACTGGCTCACTAAGGCTATGTCTACACTGCACCATAGTTCGAAATAATATACGCAATTTGAGTTATGCAGATTGTGTTTCTTATTTTAATCTTATTTCAAAATAGCTTATTCCATAATTTGGCGCTAAATTTCGAAAAAAACCCACTATTCTGAAACATCCCTTACTCCTCATGGAATGAGGTTTACAGGGGCATCGGAATAATGAGACCAAAATAAAGAGCTTGCTGTTAAGATACGGGATAGCTATTTTGGGATAAACCAGTATCGCAAAATAGCATTGCAGTGTAGACGTAGCCTAAGTTATCTTGGCTAAACCACTTAACATTTCTATACTTGGGTTTACTCATCTGTAAATTGGATGAACAATACCTTTACCTAATTCACAAGATTATGATTAGTACAGCTGTCCAAAGGTGGTGACATTATTTTTGTCACTGGGCTTTCCTGATCTTAACCAACAATGCCAGTTCTTTTTAGATACAGAGTCACCCAGAAAAGCCTAGGAGCAACTTCATAGGCTTGTCTTTCCCAAGGAAAAGCTTGTTACAATACGTGGCTTTAACAGTATAAACGGTATCAAATTTGGCTCTCTGTTACACTTGTGCCACACTCCACAGATGTTACCTACTGAGATTTAGGGTTTCTGTTTGTTTATTTGTATGTTTGTTACCATATGTGTTGGGATACAAAGTTGGAGTTACAGAAGACCCTGCTACCAGAAGTGTATTAAAAGAATCAGTTGTCCAAAATCTGCTCTAAATTACACTCTGATTAAACCCATTAATGGCAATAGCATTGCAGTGAGTGGCCTCACCTAGCCAATAGCATCCATTTAAACTATTGCCAGTTTGATAAAAATGGGGAAAAGGCATAAAGGAAGGGAAATTCCCTTTGTTAAATGCTAATGATGGGTGACCTTTGGAGAATTGCCCCAAATTTCAAGGTGCCCTAGCAGCTGTGTGCTGTGTATTGGCTCTGGTGTCCGCTCCCTCACCCCACTGTGAGCTGTGCCCAGATACTGCTCACCAGATGACAGCGGGCGATATGAGCCTGTGGACTGGAGGACTCAGAAGAAGCAGCGGAAGGCTGTGCTGCCTGCCAGCTGGAGAGAAGGGTGGAAGAGGAAACCACTACCTTTCTCGGGCCGGCGGCACAGCTGCATGCTGCTCCTCCTGAATCCCCCAGCCCACAGGCCCACGCTACTCACTGCAGCCTGCCCTTCCTGCCTGCTCCCCTGAGACTGCAGGTGAGCCTCCCTGCCCTGCAGTGTGCCTGTATCCCCAAAGGAGGCAAAGGGGAGCTCTCATCTCAGGAGGTGTTGCTGGGTTCAGGGGATTTCTGAGGCTTGCCAAGTCTGGCTGTCTGTCTCTCCCTCCCAGCTGTGGTTACCCTAGTTGCTCACCCTATGGACATGAGAAAGAGCTCTTCCATTGGCTTAACTGCTCCAGGCCCCGTGAGTGGCAATAGCTCGTCAGCAGGAGAAACTCTCCCGCCAACATAGCACTGTCCATACTGGCACTTATGTTAGTGTCACAAGGGGGTTATTCAGCCGCCGAGAGGCAAAAGCTATAGTGTAGATGCAGTGTCTGGCTTTCCCAGCACAGTGCATTGCTACTGCTCTTTGGGCAGTGGAACGGGTGCAGCTATTTAAACCATTTCGGTCCAGGTGTTATTATTTTACAATACCACTGCCAGAATTTTCCTGAGGAACAGAAGCAAGAGAAGGGATATGGGGATTTTTGAATAGCTTGCAATTCAGCTGAACCTGAATGGATGTCATGAGACAAAGAATGGTTGCCTTAGAACTTCTCCCCTGCTGAATTTCAAAGGCCTGCTGCAAACAATGGACATATTGGAGCATCTCAAAAAAGAAAAATAAATAAATTACATTTTCAAAATGGTAAGAATCGTTGAGAATCGAAAGTGTTAGGCAACTGAAATATAGGGCTGGTTCCAGCTCCCCAACACTGCAGAGAAAATGTCATTAACATTCATTTCCATTCACAGGGAGGGTAGCCTACTTCCTTTTGAAACACGGCAGAAGGACATGTCAGCTCGGACAGCAGCACAGGACTTGGAAAGGGATGCTGGGTTGCAATGTGTTTTTACACCTTGTGGTTTCCCTTCTAGAATCATTCTTTCCATTAGGATACAAAGGCCTTTGTTTGACTTTGAAAGAAAAACACAGCTTTGCAAAATGCAAG